ACTTCATGGCACATAACAACAACAACAACAATGTTGGTTTATCTTCTTAAGGATAGTCTTCTCTTTTATAAACTTTCTACTTTTTCTAGCCTGACGTCTTTTTCCAAATACTGCTTCCTGCTATTCAAAAACACCCTAAAGTTAGTACCCTCAAGTGGATGCCAATTGCAGATGACCTTCCTGTGGAATTCGAAAGCTTTCAGGGGAGTAGATTGTTCATCTATCTCCTTTGGAGCCAATAGTGGATTATAACCACGAGAGAAATACCACCTTTAGCAGCAAGTGTCAACTGGGTTAACATAAAGCTTATGGACTCCACCACCAGAGTTCCATGATGACTTCTATTAGGCTTTCAAAATACTGGCAATACCAAGTGTATGATCACCACTACTTTCATTACCCTGTAGCAAGAATATATGTATTCTCTATCAAAGAATATGCTGAATAATCTATTAACTTTTGTTGTAGTTATGTGCCATCAAGTCACCTATGACTCATAATGACCCTATGCATAATATCTCTGAACTCTGCCCCATCCTAAGCCAAGCTCACATTCCCTGACACAGCTACCCCCATGGCCCCAATTACTGTGTCAATCCATCTCATCTAGGGTCTTCCTCTCCTGCACTGTCCCTCCATCTTTCCAACCATGATGCCCTTCTTGAAGGACTGGTACCTCTTGGCAACAAGCTTAAAGAATGTAAGATGGGGCCTCAGAAATCCTTGCTCCAAGGAGCAACTTGGTTTCACCTGCTCCTACACATACCTGTTTGTTCTCTTAAGCCAGCCACGGAATGTTTAATACTCTTGTCAAGCATCACAACTCAAAGTAATTTCTTCTTCTTCTGTCATCCTTAGTCCTTGTCTAACTCTCTGATGCATAGCACATAATTGTAAATACCATCACCTGGATCAGGTGCCCCTTAGTCACTAGACTGACATCATTGCCCTTCAGCACTCAGAAGAGGCCCCTGACAGTAGATTTTCCTAATGCAATTTGTCCTTCAATTTGCTGACTGCTGGTACAAAAGTGCTGACTCTGGACACAAGCAAGCTAAAATTGTTAACAATCTCAATTTCTTCTCCATCTATCATGATTCTACCAATTGGCCCTTTGGTAAGAATATTGTTTTTTTGATGTTGAGCTTCAATCCCTATTGGAGACTACAGTCCTTGAAAATCTGCAGCAAATGCCTCAGGTCCTCTCCAGTTTCACCTATCAAAGTTGTGTCATCTGCATAATGCAAATTGTTGATGGGTCTTCCTCAAATCCTGAATCCTGATGCAACATTCCTTTTCATAAATTCCAGCCTCCTGAATGATCTGTTTGGCATATATATATTGAAAAGGTTTGGAGACAGGATGCATCCTTGACCCATTCTTTACATGATTTTTGAAACATGTATTGTTCCCTTGCTCTGTTCGGATAACTGCTTACTGGTCCAATATAGGCTTTGTGTGAGAACAACCAAGTGTTCTGGGATTCCCATTCCTCTCAAGGTTAGCCACAATTTGATGTGATTCACAGGATCAAAGGCCTTTGCACAGTCAATGACACACAGACATTCCTCTAGTACTCTGTTTTCAGCCACTATCTATTTGACTTTGGCTATGATGTCCCTAGATCCATGGTCTTTTATAAAAACAGCTTATATTTCTGGTAGTTCACTGTCAATGTACTGTTCCAGTTGTTTTTTAATTATTTTCAACAGGATTTTGTTTGTATGTTATATTAGTGATATTGTTTGATAATTTCCAAACTCTGCCAGATCATTTTTTTAACTGACCATTTAAAGAAAAAGCTTACAAATGTTTATAGCTACACATAATCCACACAAGAAATGTATGGGGTAGATATCACTCTTCCACTCCCCTCTCCATTTTACAAATGAAAAAAATCTTAGTTCACAAATGTTGAGTGTTTCAAAGTCACAGTGTGATTAAGCTAAGGACTCTTCACAGGTATTGATTCTGATTTTGTTATTTAAACCCTCAATTTCTACTTAAATTAGAACCTTGAAAAGAAAAAGGTTTAATATGAAATAGTATCTGTGATTGAGAATACTTCCCCGGAACAAGAAAGCATGGAAAGAGTTTTAGAAAATCATACACACACAGAAGTAGATATGTTGTTGCACAGAAACAATTCTTAGGTCTGTTCTAGTGTCTCATGACAAGTTGAGGGAAATGGAGCCACTTAAATGCAACAGTTTATACTAGAAAGACATTTCTTAATATATTCCTTATTTCCCTAAGTGTGCATGTGGTCAATATCTTCCTTTTGATTACTATGCCATTGTACCATTTTATTATTTCACAGGAGCTGTTATACACAAAGCGAGAAGATTACTGTAAACAGAATAAAAAAGCATCCACAGAGTTTTGTAAGACTTTGATTCAGGAAATTTTTGGCCCTCTAGAAGAAGACGTGAAACAAGGGATATTTTCTAAAGCTGGAGGTTATCATCTCTTTATTCAGAAGAAAGAAGAGTTGAAGAAGAAATACTACCAGATGCCCAAAAAGGGAGTACAGGTAAACAACCTACTGAATATTTTTTTCTGAGAAGTTATTATAATGTCTTTCCCAACACTTTTGGAGGCAAGAAAATGACTCTGTGACTGATACAAATGTGTCAGTGTTTGATTTATCCATACACTGATTTGTTCCATAAGAGATCGGCCCTTAAGATGGCTTAAGAATAAGCCTTAGAAGGTTGTCATTGGAATCAAAGACTAAGCACTCAAAAATTGTAAAATTCCTTCATTCTTTTACTCATCCAATAATTCATGGGAATATAAAATTAAATTTAATTATAAGATGTATTTGCTTTAACTATTTTCTAATTCTCACTTCTTCTGCATCACTAGGCAGAAAAGACACTGAAGACGTACTTGGAATCCAAAGATGATGTGGCTAACAAAATTCTACAGGTTGACCAGTCACTGACAGAAAGTGAAAAAGAGCTTGAAGGTGAGAATAAGCTGAAGATACTCTAGGTGGATAATAGACTACCAAAATGTTAAGGTTAGCTATGTCAGACCACATGCAAGTGTTAGTGCAGAGAAAAAAAATACTCTTGTTATTTGCCATTGACTGGGTTACATCTCATGGTGATCATGTGCATACTGTACAGGATGGCTCCACTGGGTGTTCAAGGTTATGACCTTTCTGAAGGGGATTTAAAACTCCAGCCTTTTGGCTAGTGGCTGAATGTTTTTGCCTTTGTGTAATTTGGGAACTTCTAAAAACAGAATAGCAATTATTATGCTTATATATATGGGATTCTTTTCTCATCCTTTATGATGGGTATCTATCTTCTGGTTCTCCAGGGGAAAAATTTTCACAAGAAATTTTCTCGAGGATAAAACCAAACAAAAATTATGAAAGGTATAACAATTCAATCTATATATTTGTTTCTTTTTCTTTCTCAGTGGAACGTACAAAAGCTGAACTTGCAGATTCTTTTACAAAACTTCTGAACGAAACCCTAAAGATGAATGAGGAGATGATGAAAGAGAGAGAAAAAAGTTTTCAGGAACATATAAGACAACTGGCTGTGAAAATGGAGGCAGAGATGACCCAGCTACTGGCAGAGCAAGGAAGAATTTTTAATCTGAAAATGCAGGTATTCAAATGAGTCATCTAACTTTCCCTTCCACTATACAAAAAAAAAAAAAAAAAAGTAGTGTAGGGGTGAGTGAACATCACATCTACTTAAAAAATCCTTCTGACTTTAAACATTAGAGTGCTCTTTTGTTTCCTTTGTGTTTTATTATCCATACCCATCTCCAATTACAAAGACCTGATTATGACATGCAAGAATTCATAGAGAAAGAATAGAAAATATATTTCTTCTTTTATTAGAGCACTCTGGTGGCACAGCCCATAATGTTGTAATGCTAATCCAAATACAGAGCCTCTCTAGTGGTTTGAATTTTTCTACTCAAAAGAAGGACAGGAAATATCTTCTCATGCAATACATTGTTGTTTTATGCCTTTGAGCTGCCTGAAACCCATAGCAAACCTTGGTACTACAACCCTGAACTCTGCCTTGTCCTGTGTCAGTCTCACTAATTCCTCCATACCAACTCCCATTGCCCCAGTTACTGTAGCAATCCATCTCATCCAAGATCTTCCTTTCCTGCACTGTCCTTAAACCCTTTCAAGCATGATGTTCTTCTCCAAGGACCGATCCTTCCTGGCCATGTGCGCAAAGTATGTGAGCTTCAAAATCCTAGCTTCCAAGGACAAACTTGGCTTCACCTTATCCAAGACAGATCTGTTTGTTTTCGGGGCAGTCCATGGTATGTTCAAGACTCTTGTCCAGGACCATGACTCAAAGTCATCAGTTCTTCTTCTGTCATCCTCATTACTGTCCAGCACTCTGAAGCATGACAAGTCATTGTGAAGGCCATGGCCTGGATTAGGTGCACTTTAGTCTCTAGACTGACATCATTGCTTTTCATCACTCTGGAGTGGTCCCTGACAGCAGATTTTCTCAATGTAATTAGGCTTTTGATGTTCTGACTGCTGGAGTTAAGAGTGTTGATTGTGGAGCCAAGCAAGCTATAATTATTAGCAACCTCAATCTCTTCTCTATCTATCATGACGCTGCCAATTGGCCCAGGGGTGGGATAGAATGATAGAATTCTGTATAATTAATGGTTTATTCTTAACAAATACCTTTTATAAAAAACATAAACACATATTCACATGGATTTCACCTTATGGGATGCCCAGGAATCAAATTTATTACATCTGTGGAAGGAGTCATTGGAAAAGTTCAATATCAGCAGAGAAAACTAGGACAGGTGCTGGTTGTGGAACAGACCATCAACTACCCATATGCAAGTTAGAATTAAAGTTAAAGAAGTTTAAATCATATACACAGAAATAAAAATTTGATCTTGAGGAGTCTATATCCCCTGAATTGGAAAACCAACTCAGGAACATTGAATACCCACAGATGAGCTATGGGAAGGTATCAAGAATATTGTCCATAAAATGAACATATGATTAGGTATTATTGACATGACAGGAGTCCAGAATAAGAGTTACATAGTAAAGTGGTCCATGGAGGGAGGGGACTGTATAAAAATGAAAGAACTTCTTTTCCAAAGAAAAAAAGCTAACCGGGGGTGAGGGGGGACCAGGAGGAAAATGTCCAACAATGAATGAACAGAAATTCAAGTTCTTTATAAACTTTCATTAAAATCTAAAACAATAAAATACTGTCCATGATGAATGCAAAAAGGTCATTATAGAGAAGGAAGAAGAAGAAGAAGAAATTGATGTCAGCAGAGATTCTGAATATTGAACTAGAGTGCTAAGAAGCCAAAGCAAAGGAAGAATTCAAGATGTTAAGGAGCTATAAGAAAGATTTAAAAGGGCAGTTTGGGAAGACAAGGTAAAGTATTATAATGAAATGTGCGAGGATTCAGAGTCTGAAAATCAAATGTGCCGAACTCACTCAGCATTTCTTAAGCGGGGGGGGGGCGGGGGGGAAGCTGAAAGAACTAAAGAACAAATTCAAGCTGCGACTTGCAATGCGTTAGGATGCTGTGGGCAGAATAATGAATGATTCAGAAAGCATTAAAAGAAAATGGAAGGAGTGTACAGAGTCCTTTTATCAAAGAGTAGTGGCTGACACAGAAGAATATAAAGAAACAACATATGATCAAGAGGCAGCACTGATGAAGGAGGAATTTCAAGATGGCTGAAGGACTTGGCAAAAAATAAAGCCCCAGGAATTGATTGAATACTATTAATGTATTTCAACAAGCAGATGCTACCATGGATGTGCTCACCAAGTTGTGCCAAGAACTCTGGAATACAACTACCTGGCCAACTAACTGGAAGAGATCAATATTTATTCCCATTCCAAAAAAAAAGGTGACCCAACACAGTGTGGAAATTTTTTAACAAGATCTTACAAAGTTATGCTACCAAGCCAAAGGTGGGTGATTTTAATATGTGGCCCTCAGGCTTTGTTTTAATTGTTTTTAGTCAAACCTTCTTCTAAGTGGTATAGCACTGGTCTGTCCATTTGCTGTACAGAAGTTAACTCGTGATGCTAAACACTCTGACACTGATATGTCAAATGTGATAATAGTTACTCATTGTGGACAGTGTTTGGTGGAGCTCCCTGATTAAAAAAGGCTTGGAAGCAGGAGTGGCATCTACTTCTGAAATAACTTGCCTCTGGAAATGCTATGAACTTGGAAAAATGATAAAAGTTTTACAAGTGTTCATAAGGTCACTATGAGTTGTCTCTGACTTGTCTATGACTTGATGGCACTTAACAAGAACAACATAGAGAGAGCTCTGTTGATGGCACTTAACAACAAGAACAACATAGAGAGAGCTTGTTGGCCTAGTGGATAGAAAGGTATGCTATCGAGCCAAAGGTGGGTGATTTTAATGTGTGGCCCTCAGGCCTAGTTTTAATTGGTTTTGGTCAAGCATTCTTCTAAGTGGTATAGCACTGGTCTGTCCATTTGCTGTACAGAAGAAACTCATGATTGCTGTGATGCTACCTAATGTGACACTGATGTGTGAATTGCAGTAATGGTTATCCATGGTGGACAGTGTTTAGTGCAGCTCTTCAATTAAAATAGGTTTGGAAGCAGGAGTGGCATCCACTTCTGAAATAACTTGCTTCCAGAAACTCTATGAACTTGGTGAAATGATGAAAGTTATAGTTGTTCAGGTTTTTCATTCATAGGTTCGCTATGTGTCATCTGACTTGTTGGCACTTAACAAAAACAATATTGCTAATATCACACATGAGCAAAATCCTGCTGAAGATTATCCAGAAATGACTAGGACAGTACATTGACAGAGAACTACCAGAAATATAAGCTGTGCTTAAAAGAGGTTGTGCCACTAGAGACACTATTGCCTATGTCAGATGGGTCTTGGAAGAAATCAAACAGTACCAGAAAAATATGTTTCATTGACTATGCAATGGCCTTTGACTGTGTGGATCACAACAAATTATGGCTAATCTTGAGGAAAATGAGAATGCCAGAACACATGATTGTGCTTATGAGAAACCTATACTTGGAACAGGAAGCATTCCTCAGAACAGAGCAGAGAAACACTACCTGGTTCAAAATTAGGAAAGGAGTGCTTCAGAAATGCATCCTGTGTCCATACCTTCTCAATCTATATGCAGAACAGATCATTTGGGAAGCAGGGCTTTATAAGGAGGAATGTGGCATCAAGATTGGAGGAAGACTCACCAACAACTTGCATTATGCAGATGATAAAACCTTACTTACTGAAACTGAAGAGAACCTGAAATGTTTGCTGCAGAAGGTCAAGGACTATAATCTTCAATATGGATTGAAGCTCAACATAGAGAAGACAAAGATTCTCACCACTGGGCCTACTGACATGAAATATTCAACCTTGGAAATCCCAATGGCTAGTCAAATATGTATCAATTCTAAGAAAGAGGCAATGAGAGAAAGTGTGTATGTCTTTTATCACTTGTATTTTGTGGAAGAAAAGATCCAGCAAGATAAAATACTTTCTTTGTCCTATACATAATAGAGAGTAAAACCAAACTGATCCTTGGAAATAAGGATTTTAAAGTTCTGTCTCACATACATTGGACATGTTACCAGGAGGGGCCAGTCTTTGGAGGACATCATGCGTGGAAGGGTAGAGGGGACTTCAGGAAAGACACTAGATGAGATGGATTGACACAATAACTGGGGTAATAGGGGTAAGTGTATCAAAGACAGTGACACTAGTTCAGGATAGGACAGAGTTCAGCATTATGATGGTCATGATGAGTCACAGGCAACTCCAGAATACATAACAGAAACAACAATGAAGCAGGGCATCCCAAAGGTCAACAGCTGCTCCAAGTGAGAGAGACAGAAGATACTTAAAGGGATTTGGAAATTGAGAGTGCAAAAATGTTAATCAATGAATGTTAAAAGCTATTGAGAGAGGAGTGTAAGTTCCAAATGGAGAACTATTTTGACAATTATGGGACAAGTTTTATGTCTTATTAATGTCAGTTACCGTTTTCCTTTTATAGGAACATGAACAACTTCTCCAGGAAGGATTTGCACATGAAAGCAAGAAAATACAAAAAGAAATTGAGACTCTCAAGAAGGAAATCAATAACCAAGGCTGTTTACTGCTGTAATAATGTGTAAAACACACTTTTTTATCCATCTATTCTAGCCCCCACAGCACACATTTAATGAGTAATTTTAGAACATCAGACTACTACCATTCATCTTCAATTGTTGATGCTTGTACTTCTCTTGATTCACAAACTTTGTACACATGAGACTTAAAAGTTAACACAATGTTGTTTAGTGAAAAATTGTTTAATTATGGTTGTTATGTGTTCTTATGGTCCCTCAGTCAGTTCTTCCTCAGAGGACTTTATTTGCAACAGAACAGAACCAAGTCCTCCTCAGTTTTGTGCCACCCTCACCATCGCTGCAGTGCTTTGGTCCACTCTTGTAACCACTGTATCATTCCAACTTCTTTTTCACTGATCATCTACTTACCCAAGCATGATATATTCTCCTGGAGGTTGACCCTTTTGATAGCAGAACTGTGCTCCAAAGTGCCCAAAGTAGGATGGATTGAAGTCTAACAATCCTCTCTTGTAGGGAGTAGAATGTGTTAAAATCTGAATTCTAAAAAAATTTTTAAAAAATCTGAATTCTCTCTTCAGCACTCTGGGAAAGCTAGTATTTTCCAGTGACACAGTGGGCTGTGGTAACTCTAGGTAAATAAAGAGATACACACACACATGCTGTGGCAATTTAGAAAAAACAGTGGATAAGTTTTAGTAGGGCAACAAAAGAGAGGTTAAAGAGAGTAAATGTGAAAAGGGAAAAAAATGGTTGAGGCCAAAACTTGTTAAGGTGCGAAGAAGACGAAAGGAGTGACCCTGACACAAATTCCTGCCTTTATCACTCTTGGACTTACAGGATGATCTACCCTTGCTCTGCCTAGTCAGTTGTGGGATTGGTTGTGATTTGATTCTCTTGGATTCCTCAGGGGGATTGTACTTTCTGATATGATCCCACTTTTTGCTCCTGCCAGAAGTACTATCACCAAGTTCCATATCACCCAGTTCCTTGTTATGTGCCATCAAGTCACTTGCAATTCATAGTGACTATGCCCAATAGCTCTGATCCTGCCTCTATCCTGAGCCAATGTCAATCTCTCTTACACACCTACTCTCATTACCTCAATTATTGTGCCAATTAATCTCATCTGAGGTCTTCCTCTCCAGTGCAGTCCATTGACCATTCCAAGCATGAGATCCTTCTCCAAAGACTGGCCCCTCCTGGCTACATGACCAAAGTATGTGATATAAAGTCTTAAAGTCTTTGCCTCTAAGGAGCAGCTTGGTTTCACACTTTCTAGGTGACATCTGTTAGTTTTCTTGGAAGTCCATGGTATGTTCAAAACTCTTCTCCAGTACCACAACTCAAAGCCATCAATTCTTTGGTTATCCTTGGTCATTGTCCAGCTTTCTAATGTATAACAAGTAATTGCAAAGACCATGGTCTGGATCACATTAGTCTCTAGACTGATACCCTTGCTCTTAGCATTTTGAAGAGGTCTTTGATAGCAAATTGTTGCAACTGTTTTGCATTCTTTTCCTGCATCCTCTGAGACATACAGCTTCTAGCTGTCTTCTATGAGAGTGAGAGAGATCAAGTAGCAATTTTAGACCCTAAATCTGCTGGTAACAAATAAAGGAGGCAATTAGTCACCCTGTCAGAGAAAATTAGTGTCAGTGTAGGTAGTATGCAGTCCTTAACTGGGAGAGACTGCACAGTCTGTGAACGCTGATGTGATCACCGAGCCCTGTGAAATGAAGTACTTGTCTTTGAGCACAATACACACACACACACATACACACACATATATATATGCATATATACGTATATGTGTGTGTGTGT